GAGGCCCAATAATAGGATAGATGTATGTACTGTTCAGCAAAGTTATGTTCATAAAGCACCCTTTTTATAAACTGTTTTATCACTTGTTACTTATAATCTCTCCATCTAGAAATAAGTAGGTTTGTATGAATACTTTGAAGTTTAAAGATATAAATTCCATGTATTTTTTATTATGCGCACAAACTGCCAAAAACGAACGCACGACGCAAATGCTCCGAGACAATCATTATGATTTGGGATGACTCCAGGTTGGCACCTCTGTGCCTGCTTTTTGGGTTCCACTCAGCAAATCATGACAAWGGTGCAGTACCAAGTTGAGTAGATACAGCAGGGGGCAGTATTGGACCAATACAAGTCTCCATTGACACMCATTATGTGATTTTAAACATTAAAATTTCAAAAAYTATAAGTTGTACAGGCACCAAAAGGCATAGCCATCATTTAGCACAGGAGCTTTACAGATACAAATTACAATGACAGCTCTAGGACAAAGTTTGCAGGAGGAGAATCGTGCCAAAGTGGAGATGACTTGGATGAGAAATGAAAGACAATAGTACTGATGATGATAAAAGAAAACTTCAATCCCTCTTAACAGGGGACATTTGACAGCATCATGTCTGCATTCACTCTCCAGCAGAATATACTTTTCAACAGCTGTCTATAAGAGTTAAATTAACCTGTTTATTCCTGTCCAGATATTTACCAGGAGACCTGAGTCTGCCTGCCTGGAAATCTGTTTAAGAGCTCTCACATGATCCTCACCTTCACCTGCTGCCTGCCTCTTACCTCTGATGGTAAACAGTCACCTGTTCAGTCCTCTGGTCTGCTGGCTGCAACTGTTCATGGAAACMTGGGTACCAAACTGTGGAACCTTCTCTTCTGAGCGACACTTCCATCTGGAACCTATCTGGACCCAAACCTGAGCTCACTGTAAATAAGACACTTATGACAACCTGTGGTTGCACCATCATCCAAACAAACGTGTTTGTTTGTTTTTGTTTTTGTTTTTTAACGGCCTCCACTCCACCCCTTATTACAGGGGTGATAGTGGGGGGAAAAATCCTGAGTGTGAACTTTTTCCTGCCAGGTTTTTATGTTTAAAAGGGCAATTTATGATCTTTGAAAAATACTTGAATATTAAAAACATCATGACTGATATTTCTACWGACCAGCTGGTCAACTAAATAAACAGAACATATGTGAAAACTGTCATTTATATTTCATGTTTTATTAAATACATTACACTTTTCATAAAGTCTGGTTCCAAATAAACTATTTTGCACATTAAAATCCCCAAATGTCCCTTTTTTAAACTGGTAGAATAATACAGTAAATTACAGCTGATATTCATGATGAACTCACACTGAGAGACWGAACACTGAGGGGTTTGGAGGAAAAAACACCAAAACTTAAACAGAGACACACCTTTGTTACACGTCTGTTTAAATATATATCTATTTTAGGGATGCAMGTTATTGATTAATGAATTAATCTAAAGTTGATTGATCTTATTGATCAACTCACGATAAATTGACAAATGGCCATTTTCTAAAAACCCTGAGTTTTCTTTTGAATCAAGTCGTTTTTTTCCATAACATGAAAGACATTTTTTTTATATACGCTGAATTTTCTTTTAAATAGCACATCATCATTTTAACAATTAATTTACCCAGCTGTGTTACATAGTAACAAGTCACCTGATTGGAGAGGGAGCTTCCTGGTTCCTCATCATCTCATCTCTGAGGGCGGGACTTGACTCTGATCCAGAAGTCTTTGTGACATGAAGCTGCTGGTGGTCTCACTTGGGTCTCTGGAGACACAGAGGTTCTGAGGGACTGGATTAGGCCTGAAAACCTGCTGTCAGTCCTTGCAGTGCAAAGAAATATTCAAGTCAATCTTTGAATCAGTTTCCTGTGTAGAATTTGTTCTTTGAACATCTTTTTTTCCCCGTTGATAAGATCCAACGTGATGTGACAGGAAACAGAAACTGGTTGAACAACAAGCTTCAGTTTCCTGTCATAAACCCATCAATGTGTTTTTAGTTCAATGTTTCCATGGATCAAAGTCTGCTTGTAAAACCAGGAACCTCTTGGTGTTTCACAGACTCACAGTGTGGACATGTCAGACAAGAACAGGACTGGAGTCCACAGGAAAAACTGACAGAATGTTGTTGAGATGAAATGAGCTCCATCTTAATACAGTTTATGTGAAAACRGAGTCTCTGAGTGAAGAAAAGAAAGAGAGCAGCAAACATCCCAAACCATTCTCACTCCCAAGTCGTCACATATTGACACTTTTCCAAGGTTCCCTCTGCGTCTGGTTTTGACACGTCAGGTACCCCCCTCGCGTCAGGTATGGAAAATCTGTTGTCATAATTTCAGAAAGTGTAGAAAATGCACAAAAACTAGCCGTCCCGAAGCCTAAAATTACCTTTAATTCACTTTAGACATCCTGTCCCTGACCCTAGTACCTAAAATTAACCATTATTTGAAAGTGGAAGAAATTCACTCAACTATGTGTCCCAAAGCCTAAAATTACCTAATATTCACCCTAGACATCCCATCCCTGACCCCACTACCTGAAATTAACCATGAACCCTGATCCCTAATATTAACCACGGCCCCCAACTCAAAGACCCTATATTTTGCGTACCAACGCGTCAAACCTGGACTCCGAGGGAACCCGGAAATGCCTGGTGCATCAGAAACTGATGCGACGGTTGTACCCGACGCATTAAAATAAGAAGCAGAGGAAACCTTGGAAAAGCGTCAATATGTGACGAGTCGTGCACTAGTTGAACTCATTGAGGATGTTACTAACTCTATAGATAAAACGAGATTTGCTCTAGGTGTGTTCATTGATATCAAAAAAGCATTTGATACTATAAATCACAACATTTTACTCAGTAAACTGGAACAATATGGGATCAGAGGGACTGCACTAAATTGGGTAAAAAGTTATTTAAAAACAGGGAACAGTTTGTGAAGATGGAATAGTTTCAGTCTGGATGTTTGGACATTGTGTGTGGTGTTCCTCAAGGGTCAATGATGAGGGCCCAGACTATTCATCTTATACATAAATGACATACTGTATATTAGGTATCATCAACCTTAAGACTTATTCTGATACAAATGTTTTAGCTTCTGGTGAGAATCTATAACAACTTTTGGATACTATTACCTCTGAATTCATTAAAATTAAAAGCTGGTTTGATAGGAACATGTTATCACTAAATTTGAGCAAGACAAAATGCTACTCACTAACAAACAAAAGTATCCAGATTGCATAACAGAGAGAGCATGAAATTAAATTCTTAGGGGTAAGAATAGATCACAGAATTCGCTGGAAACCACACATTAAATACATCTGTATTAAAGTATCAAGAAGTGTTTCAATTATGACCAAAGTAAGAAATTATCTGAATAGTAAGTCACTCCACATCTTGTATTCTTCAATGATTCAGCCATATTTAAATTTTTGTGCAGGAGTGTGGGGCAATAGATGGTTCTCAAATGACGCAGCTACCTGCAGATCACATGATCAAATTGCCATATTCGTGGGCGGGAATGGGAAAGGGGATAGTCTACAGTACATATATAGTTTAGATTGTTTATGTACTGTAGTATGTTTCTATTATGTGTGTATGTATATATGTTTATGTATGTGGGTATGGGTATATGTACATACTGTACATGTGTTTAAGTTTGGTTGCTGGGTGTTTGTTCTCTTCATTTGCTGATGGTCAGATGTCAGGTGTGGTGTCCTGTGTGTTATTAGTGTTCATTTCACATGTTGTATAATTTCTATCGGTTTCTCTCTCTTCAGTTCTTGTATTTCTCTTCTACTTTTTCCTTTTCTTCTTTACTATAGTGTAAAGAAAAGCCACTGATGATGCAGAAATTAAGGAACTAACATTCAGTTTTGTTTTCTACTGAAGTGGCAAAAAAAAGGTCCTATTCTGAAATAAACACAAATCACAAAATAACCACAATCCAAAAATGTCAACTTTTTTTTGTTGTTTTATCAGGACAGACAGTCTCACACAGCAAAAATTAAATGAAAAGCCATAACATTCATTTAAGTAAGTCAGGATCCTGAGAAAGTTTCTCAGAATCCCAACTTTAGTTCTCAGGATCTTGACTTTCTTTATCGGGATCTTGAGAAAATAAGTTGGGATCTGCTTTTTTTTCCTCCCATGTCCCCTCRCGGGCTCTGTATATTATCAATTTATCTTAACTTTGAAAAATACTAAACTAAACCCAATATTTAGGGGAAAATACTACAGTTATACTACTAAAGCACTTTTAAAAGGTAACACCTGCTGTATATACAGTATATACATA